CCACCCAAGGATACATAACAGACTCCAAGGTGAAGGGATGAAAATTTATAATCCATGGAAACCACAAGAAAGCAGATATAGCCATTCTCATAACAAATAAAAATGACTTTAAATCAACATGTAAGAAAAGAAAGATGGTCATTATATAATGGTAAAGGATCAGGTTCAACCATTACAATAACCCTGGAACCTTCACTAACCAGATCCAGGCAGCGTTCCGGGAGCCGCGTCTTCTGGTGGTTACTGACCCCAGGGCTGACCACCAGCCTCTCACAGAGTCGTCTTATGTTAACCTGCCTACCACTGTTCTGTGTAACACAGCTTCTCCTCTGCGTTACGTGGACATTGCCATCCCACGCAACAACGGGGCTCACTCTGTGGGTCTGATGTGGTGGATGCTGGCCCGGAAAGTTCTCCACATGCGTGGCACCATCTCCCGTGAACACCCGTGGGAGGTCATGCCTGATCTCTACTTCTACAGAGATCCTGAAGAGATTGAAAAGGAAGAGCAAGCTGCCGCCGAGAAAGCTGTGACCAAAGAGGAGTTTCAGGGTGAATGGACAGCTCCAGCTCCTGAGTTTACTGCTCCTCAGCCCGAGGCTGCAGACTGGTCTGACGGCGTGCAGCTGCCCTCTGTGCCTACTCAGCAGTTCCCCACTGAAGACTGGAGCGCCCAGCCTGCCACGGAAGACTGGTCTGCAGCTCCCACTGCTCAGGCCACTGAATGGGTGGGAACAACCACTGAGTGGTCTTAAGTTCTTCTACAAACTCTTAAAAATGGAAATAAGGTTGATGGAAAATAAACATGAGTTTCTAAAAAAATAAAAAAATCTGTGGTATTCCACAAAAGCAGTGGGAAAATAGCCTTAAATAGCTACATCAAAAAGACAGAAAGATCACAAATCAACAATCTAATGGCATGTCGCAAGGAACTATAAAAGGAAGAGCACACCAACCCAAAACCAGCAGAAGAAAAGAAATAACTAAAGTCAGAGCAGAACTAAACAAAATGGAAAACAAAACAAAAAAAGAATACAAAGCATCAATGAAACGAAAAGTTGGCTCTCATCATAGCAACTAATAATATCTGCCGCCTCATTCACACCATACCTCAGTCCATCACATGCCCTGAGAACTCTACCTGGCCATTGGCAACCAGACTGTGATCTCTCTCATCAAGCTGCTTACCATGGTTATGGTAGCCAGTGACTATGCTAGCCCAGCAGATGACCACATCTCTCTAGTCTTGTTTACATGTGAGTTTCCCGGAGTCTGTTTAGTCTCATCAATATAATAGAAGGGAAAATGTACTTTCTTTGTTTGGAGAAAGGAAAAATAGTCACTAGGAGCCATTGCTTCCTCCTCCACAACCCAAGCCCAGAAAGCAAATAGCCAATTCTTCTAAGAATTTTCCTATTTCCCACTTTCAAAACTATCCCTTTCTGAGAACAAAGAGAAAGTAACTAAAGCTTGTGCTTCAAAAGCTACCAACTTGAGTAAAAGGGCTGTCATCCTGATGGAAAAATCTTTTGACACCTGTAACCTTCAAACTCTGTCCCTCTGGTCATCTCAGGGCACTTTTGTCTTTCTTAGTCCTAAATTTTATTAGGTTTTTTTCTTTTGGTTTTGTATTTGCACCTTTTTAAAACTATAGCAGGCAGCATTTTAGGAGAAAATGATATCGTTTTTTATATATGAATGATATAAATTTTTAAAATGTGATTTGCATCCCCCTCTTTTTCTATATATATGTTCTACAAAATTAGTTTATGGGCAGGGTTGATCTTATAAAACTGAAGAGACAATAAACTTTGTCTCCTGGGGGAAAAAAGTTGGTTCTTTGAAAAGATAAACAAAATTGATAGACCTCTTGCTAGATTAACCAGGATGAGAAGAGAAAGAACACAAATAATCTCTATCAGAAATGTAAAAGGAGATATTATAACTGATACCACAAAAATTATAAAATATCAACTGTGAACACTATGAAAATTTCTACCCATATAAACTCAAAAACAGAGGAAATGGACAAATTCCTGGAAAGAAACAACCTCCCAAGACTCAATCAAGAAGAAATAGAATTCCTGAATAGACCAATAAGGAGCAATGAGATTGAAGCAGTAATTAAAAAAAATAAAACTTCCCACAAAACAAAAAACCCCAGGCCAGATGAATTCACAGCCTCACACCCAAATATTACCAGACCTACAAAGAGGAGCTGGTACTCATACCACAGAAATCGTTCTGTAACATTGAGTAGGAGGGACTCACTCCCAACTCATTCTATAAAGTCAGTATCACCTGGATATGAAAGCCAAGAAAATGACATAACAAAAAAAGAAAACTATAGATCACTATCCCTTATGAATATAGATGCAAAAATCCTCAATAAAACACTAGCGAGCCGAATTCAACAGTACATCAAAAAATAATCCACCGTGACCAAGTGTGCTTCATCCCAGGGATGCAAGGATGGTTCAACACGTGGAAATCAGTAAATGCAATTCACCACATAAACAGAAGCAAAAGCAAAGACCATATGGTCATCTCAATAGATGCAGAAAAAACATTCAACAAAATTCAGAACCCTTTCATGAAAAAAAAAACCCTCAACAAACTAGGCATAGAAGGAACATATCCCAAAATTATAAAAGTCATATATGACAAACCCACAGCCAATATCATACTGAATGGGGAAAAATTGAAAACATTCCCACTAAGAACCGGAACAAGACAAGGGTGCCCACTGTCACTACTTTGTTCAATAGTGATGGAAATCCTAGCCAGAGCAATCAGGCAAAAAAAATAATAATAAAGTGTATCTAAATCAGGAAAAAGAAGGTCAAACTATAGCTTTCTGCTGACCATATGGTCTTATATCTAGAAAACCTCAAAGATTCCACCAAGAAACTCCTGGAGTTGATAAACAAATTTGGCAAAGTTTCAGGTTATAAAAATCAATGTACATAAATCAGTAGCATTCCTATACAATAATAGTCACGCTGAAAGTCAAATCAAGGACTCACAGCATTCACAATGGCCACAAAGAAAATTAAATACCTAGAAATATGCTTAACCAAGCAGGTGAAAAATTCCTACAGGAGAATTATTAAACACTGAGGAAAGAAATCACAGTTTACACAAACAAATGGAAAAACATATCATGCTCATGGATCGGTAGAATCAACATTGTCAAAATGTCCATACTACCCAAAGTGACTTAAAAATTCAATGCAATCACATCAAATTACTAAAGTCATACTTCAAAGATCTAGAAGAAATAATTCTACACTTCATTTGGAACCAGAAAAGAGTCTGAATAGCCAAAGCAATCTTCAACAAAAAGAATAAATCTGGAAGCATCACATTACCAGACTTCAAACTATACTACAAGGCTATAATAACCAAAACAGCGTGTTATTGGCACAAAAATAGAGACATATACCAATGGAACAGAACAGAGAACCCAAATATAAAACCATCTAAATACAGACAACTGATCTTTGACAAAACAGACAACAAACACTGAAGAATTAAAGACCTATTCAATAAATGGTGCTTGGAGGATTGGACAGCCACATGCAGAAGAATGAAACAGGATCCATATGTCTCACCACTCACAAAAAGTTAATTCAAAGATTGATAAAAGACTTGAATGTAAGGCATGAAACCATAAGAATTCTAGGAGACAATATTGGAAAAACTCTTCTAGATATCAGCCTAGGTGAAAAATTTATGAAGAAGACCCCAGTGGCAACCACAGAAACAACGAAAATAATTAAATGAGAGTAGATTAAATTTGAAAGCTTCTGCACATCTAAGCAAATAATCAACAGAGCAAATAGACAACATAGAGAATGTGAGAAAATATTCACAATCTATACATCCAATAAAGGGTTAATAACCAGAATCTAGAAAGAACACAAGCAAATCAGCAATAAATAAACAAACATACCCATTAAAAAGTGGGCAAAAGATATGAACAGGAGTTTTTGAAAAGAACTTAGAAAAATGGCCAACAACTTTGAGACTTTGAGTACCAGTTTCTGCAAGATACTGATTCAGAATACCCCAGAACACCTCCACTGACATTTTTACCAAGTAGAAGGGCAGCACAGTAGATAGTGCAAGAAGCACAAGAACTGCAATGCTGCCACTTACCAGGCTGTGATCGTAAGCCTCTGTTTCCACCTATAAAAAGTAGGGCTGCATGTATCTACCCCAGAGAGATGTGGTGGGAATAAAATGAAATACTGTTTTTGAAAGCACTTTGGAGTTTTGGTTTATTCTGTTTGTTTTTTCAAATCAAAGTGCACTTATTGAGGACTTGCTGCATGTTCCCCAGTGAGTGCTGGGGAGAAGGGTGGAAGATGCTCTGGAGATTTCACAGTCCAGCAGTCATGACAGGCCCAGGAGAGAAGATGTCATGGTTAATTTTACACATCGGCTTGGCTGGCTATAATGCCCAGATATTTGGCCAAACATTATTCTGGATATTTCTGAGAAAGTGTTTTTAGATAAGAGCAAGATTTAAATGGGTGAACTTTGAGTAAACTGGTTACCCTCTGTAATGCGGCGGGCCTCATCCACTCAGTCAAACACCCTCATGGACCAAGGACGAGCTCGCCTGCGGAGCAAGGAGCGCTGCCGGCCGACGCCTTCGGACTCCCGCTGCAGCTCCTCGCTAGGTCTCCAGCCCGCCAGCCCGCCCCATCGGATTTGGGACTCAGCAAGCCTCACACAGTTACGTGAGCCAATTCCTTAAGATAAATCTTTCTATATGCACATCTTATTGCTCCTGTTGGACACTCTAAGAATGGTCCTTATGGACACAGGGCACGGAGGGGCAGGGATAGTTCCATCTGGAGGGGCGTGAGGGAAGACGTGGGATGTTGGAGTTGGGCCCCAGAGGCCAAGTTCCTGTCAAGAGATGAGGAAAGATCTCCCAGATGTCACTCAACAAGACCATGCTCATTCCTTCCACTTCCTTAGAATCTGTATGTACTTTGATCTAATTCTCTCTCAAAACTTCTCTTTCCCAGACCATTCCAGCCTACTGTCTAGTTTGAGCATCCCCTCTGTGACCTAGGCAAATCCCCTAGTTTCTCTGAGCCTCGGTTTACTCCTTCCTGAAAGCCCATTTCATCGGGTCCAGGAAGGCACTTCATAGGCTTCAGAGAACCTTCTATTAAAGTGTCAGGGAGGCTCATCCCCGAAGGGGCATCAGTGAGTCTCTTCAGCGCTCTGACCAAGGAAGAGGAGAAACGGGCTTACCATGCCTATGCACTATTTAAATTTGCTTCCAGGAAAAACAAATATTTAACAAATTTAAATAATCAAATACTGTTACAAAAGACTGTGGAATCTTATATCCTGGAATTTCATTAAAAATAGAGGTGCCCCTAGGACATTAGTGTGCAAGCTCATCTTGCGTCCCCCAAGGGCCCAGTTGCAAACAAAGCCTTGACGACTGCACTAGAAATTGGCATCCAAGGAAGGACAGGGAGGCAGGCTGTTCTCTGAGACAGGAAAAGCATTAACCACGGAAGGATGGGGGGTCTTCTAACTCACTCTCCCTACTATTCCAAAAAGTAAAAACTAATGAGGATGGCATCTGCCTGGCCAGAGATCAGGACCACCCTGAGGCAGCAGATGAGCCTGCAGAAAGCCTCGAGCACTTATTAAATCTGCAGAGTCCATCACAGACTCCCAAGAGTCAGCATGGTCCAATCAAGGTCACTAACAAGGAACCCACTGGTGGCTTGATGCAGGCCAGCCATTCAGGAGATAACTCTACCTGGGTACTCCAGGCC